GAAGCCTGGCAACATTTTGAACCTTTTCAAAATGTAAATACTGCATATTAAGCATAGGAAAGAAAATTAATGTGCTGCATTTGCAAATTTATTTCCAAGTCAAAAATGCAAAGGAGGAGGAGGAGGACTCTTACAACAGAATTGAGATTCTACATTTACAGGGAATAAGACATTTGTAACGTCCTTAACACAAAAGAAAAATACTTTAGAAGTAGATTAATTAGCTTCTCTGATAAGCTTAGCTTTTGAGTTTCTTTCCATTTCATTTCAAATTTATGGTCTTGGTGTGACATTAGTCCAGTCTACTGCATCCCGCAGGTGGAGTTCATCTGGTTTGTTACTTTATGTGCAGTGCATTGTGGGCAATAAGTTACAATTTTTGGTTAAAAATTTCCAGAACCACAAAAATACTTCTTAATTCGACTTGCAAATGAGTAATGCCTTTCTTGGGGGGTGGGGCTAGTTAAAATATTACAGGAATTTTTGTGCCTCTTTCCTTTAGTTAATAGTGGAGAGAGTTGGCAATAAAGTTTGCTTTTGAAACTTTGACATATTTTAGTTAGTTCTGATTTGCATATGAAGTCATCCTCTGACAATTCCAAACAAATGTCTTTTCAAACAAACCCACTTTTTTGTCTGTGCAGCTTTGGCTCCAAGAGGACTGAACAGATTTATCTTGCTTTCTACCATTCATGCTAGTAGAAAGTTGTAATTTCAATGGCATTGTTAATATCTTGAATAGTTTAATAATAGATTTTAATAATTTAACAACTACCACCTCAATTAAAGATTTTATTGGTATAACATTACCCATGAACCACATTTTCTCCAAAAAAAATTTCCAAGGAAAAGCAATCTATTTGTGTCAATACCATCGATAATATTAACCCATGAAGGAGAAAAGATATTTATTTATTTTATTAAAATAAAACAATGTTGAGATAAAATCTTTACATGACTTCTTTAACATACAAAGCTTTGAAGCAGAGTTCAGTTCCCATAAGCATGTTTTTAGACCCAAACTGACCCTGTACTTAGTTCCAGAAGGTCAAAATTCTTAGCATTTATTCCCCTGGTAGATGTCCAATTCATATTAAGTATACAAATCTTTTAAAGATTTCAAGTGATTTCACTTGGCTTACAAGTAAAGATCTTACATTCTTCATAATTTCTGATGCTGAAATTTTTACTTAGAAGGATTTGATTATGCCAAAAAGCCACTTACTTGATATGCCTTAAATACCGTAACACAATTAAAGGCAAGCGTAGGTTGCGAGCACTCTTAAATAACACTGACACAATGTGCGCATAACTTACAATATAGCTAACTTAATTTTCATGTAACAGATAACATCTGGGGGAAATGTGCATTGGTAAGTTATGCAAAACTAATTTTCGAGTGACCACATCTGTGGATGGTCTTTAGCGTGCGTTCACTTAACAGTCCATTATTTTGTTTAGAAATCTATTCTCTTCTTTATTAGAACTCTTAATGTACTCACCTTGGTTCAAATGGTCTACTCATTATCGGAAAAAAATACAAATGGCATTCACATGGAACAACAGGATTGTTTTTATTGTGTGCATTTGTGCGCAAGCATTCAGAAATGGCAAGAGGGGCACATTTACTGCTTTACATTCGAAGTAATATTTAGGAAGTATTTGAAAGTCAAGCAAAACCAATCATTTGGCCAAATGGATGTATGTATATAATCAGAAACTCCTGATTTTTAATCTCAGCATTAGGCCTGAGGCAAGTCACTTAAAGGCCTTCCTTTTGTTTCCTGATGTTCTGGGTGCCTTTGTCCTATGGAAATAGAGGTTTGCGAATTCAACTCCCCAGAAGAAGCGTTCTTTTAATAAACTTACTTGATACCCTTTCTGTTTTTATTTTTTCAAATTTAAGAGGTAACACATTAGACTTTTGAGGAAAAATATGAGACAATTAGAATTCTACAGGAATGTATAAAAATAGTTATAAAACTAGCTTTATTTAATTTGCTTCAACTATTCATAGAGTTGAGGAAATTATAATGTTCTTTCAGAAAATCTAACTTATTAAAGCTGACCATGTCTTTCTGTTTTAAATAGATTTTATTACAGAACCAGTGATGTTGTAAAACATGAGGTTTTGTTAAAAAAAAATACAAAGGCCTAATTGTATTTTTTAAAGAAAGTATTGCATCAGACGGTTTCATTTAAGCGTATTTGCTGGCTCTGTGTTCTCGCCACAATTATTGATTCTAATTTTCCTTAAACTTGTTTTTCAAAAAAGGCTACTCATTTTTAATGGGGAAAAAAATCACTTGATGCTTCTGGGCATTATGTTTATTTCAAACTACATATTGGAAAGTGGACTTTCTTATTCTTAATGAATCTTTATTTTTACCTCCATCTAAAACTGGGACATTTCTTTTCCTTCTAGTAAGTCACTAATGTAAAGAAATATATTTCTGTATAAAACTGAAAAACATAGCTAGGGTTTGGTTCATTAATAGTATGCAAACTGCCTGAAGAAAAGAAATTCTCACCCCCATTTCAGGCACAAATTAAGTCAACTTAATAGTTAGATGAGCTCCACTTGCAAAAAAAGGAAAGAAAAGCCAGGCTCTCGGCCAGAACTCAGTTTATTGCAATAAGTGGGAAATTCATTCTACTAAAACAAATGGTGATGTGGAGACATACAGTTCCAAGTTTCCAAGTATGTACCCAAAAGACACACACACACACACACACACACACACACACACCCCAGGAAACTGATAGTCGGTGAGTAATTCAGATGAACTGTATAAAGGAACGCAGGCCACAGGGGTGTGAGGCATGAAATGAGAGACTGGAACACAAATGTCTGCTTGCATTCAAGTGCGTGAGCTGATGGGAAAGGACCGACGAGGGTGGACGGTGGGATCTGTTATCACCACAGTGGAGAGGCTGTCTGTGGAGACCTGCGCTGGGGGGAGGGCCAATTAGCACAGAGCTCTGTCTTGTATATAGAAAAGCAGAGCAGTGAGACAGATATGGTGACCACACACATGATAAAATTCACTTCATTGAAAGAAAATAATTTCCCTGTGAAAATCAGCTCATGATACTTTCTCAGTACCTGAAATAAATTCAGGAAATGCCAAATCTTTGTTCTTTTCAATATCTCACTTACACCCCTGTACCTCAAACCTTGCTTTTTCCCACATATTAGTCTTTTCCACCAAGTAAATGCTTCAGCATTTTCCCTTCTCTCTGACTCTCACAAGCAGCTTCTTCTTTATTGCTGTCTTCTTTTCGAGCTTCTTTTCCATAAAGAGCAATAGAAGATGTGGTACACCAATGCCAGTGTAGTAGAAGAAGGTGTAGGTAATTCTGTGAGAAGATGAGAATGCTTGTACACCCACCTTAAGATACGGCTTCTAAATAGACTGAGAGAAAAGAACTGTTCTGACCTGCTTCTCTGTTCTGTTCTCATCAACATTTAGTCAACTCCAAATAAACAATCTGGGAATGATGTCATCCAACTGAATAAAAAGTCAGTGCTTCATAAGATCAATAACTTCCGAGGATGGCAACTTGATGACATATTACAGTTTACTGAAAACTGCACAGGGCAGGAAGTGAGCACACCAGGGTTTAATTCCTAGTTGTGTCAAAGGGAATTGTTTGATACTGAGCCATTTAGCTTTTTGGCTTCCAAGTCCTTTTGCCTTTACAGTTAGAACACTCCAGAGCTTCTGTATATTTACACTAGGCAACAACTTCCTGTAAACTAGAATTAAAATCAGTAATACAAATTTAGTCCAAAATGCATACACACGTTAGAACAAGAAATAACTTAGCTTCTGTTCCACTTCAAAACATACCTCAATCAAAAAAATGTAAAAAATGGAATGTAACTTGGAAGTTTGTATGACATGTTACAGAGAAGTTAAAAGCCAGTGTGTGATTATTTCATGATTTTTCTCTGTGCTTGATCAAATGGTCATTTTTCAATGAACTTAGGCATTTCTAGAATTTAGTCTCCAAACCTGTAAGCTTGGGGTCTGGCTTTCTCAGCAAGCAGTGAGCAACTTCATCTCTGAGCTGTAATAATAAGCTCATGAGAATTCACTATACAAAATGGAACCGTTTATTGATTTATGGTAGGAATGCAAGGGGCACAAAAGCCAGAACATGCAAGTGGGCATGCCTTTACAGATCAATGGAGATGGGAAATTAAATTATGGTCAAAATGTTGCTTGTTAACCATGGAATTAGAACAAGAGGAACTAATTAAATGATTCAGATGTTTAATGCTGTTAGTTCTCTCATCTCTTCTTTCTCTATCCAAATTATGGTCGGATGGGCCCTGCCAAAGTTGACTTTGCTTGTCTTTTTTCTCCACTTTCAATATTGACTACCACCCTCCCTCTGATTAATGCCCTCTTGCTAAAGAGTTGTCAAGTGCTTATGGTGAAGTCTTGCCTGCCCGCTGGGTTTTCAGTAATCCCTCTAAACTGCAGTGGACTGACTGGCTGCACATACTAATCTTCAGGGCTTTCATGTCCTCCCCATTAAGCTCCTCATGGCCACTTTATTGCTGCCCACAATCAAGGCTGCATTCTGCTGCATGATGTCCATTCACACAAGGCTGCCATGCAGTACTACTATCTGCCAGAACTGGAGAGGAGGTGTAGGGCTTTTAAGCTGCTGGCTCTACCTACAGAGAGCATGGAGCCTCTGGTGCTGAGGGGAGGACTGGGACTTGAAACAAAGCACAACATAGAACCCGGAACTCCAGAATACAGATGGAGATTAGCATGACAATCTAGGAAAAGAAAATGTAAACAAGCAGTCATGGCACTCCTAGAGCACCAGATAACCAAGAGGTCAGTAGCAGCAAGAATCCAGAGGAGATAGCCTACAACATGATGCCAGGCTTGGAGTATGGGAGAAACATAAGGCAACTGGAGGAAACTGGGGTTACTCACTGAACGCTGTCATCATTCAGCTTTCTTCTTCCTTGCCAGCAAGTAATAGAAATCGTCAACCCTGCAGGAGGCCCTTTACCAGGACCTCTGGAAGAAGGAATCTCATTAGATATTTACTCAAAATTCATAGAGCCACCTCCAACATCAGATGAAGAAATGAAGGTAAGATTTCTTTTGTATTTTCACTGCCACCACCAAGGAATTACATTCTTAGGGGTAGAAAGGAAAAACAAATGTTCTTCCATTTTCTTTTCCTCTGACTATTCTCAGACAGATGTAAATATTTATGGTAGCACGGATTCCAAGAAGGGCAGCTGGGGCAGTTGAGCAACTTTAAACTTCTCTATCTCATACTCCCTAAACTCTACTTTCACTTTTCCAAAAGTAACCACCGTCTTGACACCGAGGCTGACTGTCACAATTCCCATAAAGAATAAAAACACTGCACAAGGTAACATCAAATCAAGACCTCCTGGGCTGACATCCTTCCTGTATGCTATCCAACAAAACGTGAGGTTAACATCAACCACTGAATGCTCCACAAATTACTTGACTGTTGCTTCCATTCACTATTTAGGGGTTGGATCAAGAGCAAGGCCTTGAGGAGTCCCAGCCAGAACCTGACACTTTGGATATGGATCCTCTAGTTGGCTTCACCATGGAGGACGTGAAGTCCGTGCTGGCCCAAGTCACAGATGATGTGTTAAGAGACATTCAGGTACTGAGTACTGGTAGCTTACTCACTTTGTTACTGGGTAACTAGTAATCCTCAGCTTTCATGCCTGCGTATGCTGCCAACACTGTGCATGCAAGAGTGAAGCATGGAGAAGTCCAGTGTAACACACCCACATGCAAGAGTGAAGCATGGAGAAGTCCAGTGTAACACACCCACAT